GTTTAACCCATTCGCTGCCAAGGACGAGTATACTCGTCTTTGGCAGGGTGTCACGCATTGCCAGGACGAGTATACTCGTCCTGCTTTAAATATATTATAACATGCAGGCTCTTTTGAAGGCCCATTGCCAACGACGAGTATACTCGTCTTTGGTTTTCTGCTTCTAAATGATTATGTATGATAATATATGTGCTATTACCAAGAAATAACAGGGTTTTGGTAAACAATAGCACTCAAAATATAAATGGCAATAGGAATGACTTCATATAATTTAGGCTTGGCAGCGAATGGGTTAAATATTTGTCGGATATTTTGTCTCTTTTTTCCATCTGTTCAAAATGGACGAATGGAAACAGACGTTACAGTAACGCGTCTATATTAGCGTGTATCCTGTTGTTTACCTAGCATGTATGCAAATTAGGACCGGTTACGGTGAGTGCAGCTTGGTAATTATTCTTCTAATTAATCACCCGTCCTCAAAGTCAGAAACCATCCCCGGGGTTCCTTAAACAGTAAATCTCTGGCGAGTCGTGTTGGAAAAGCGTTCAGGTGCCGCGGGTTTCCTGAATTCTTTTCCCCTTTGCATCGTGCGAAACCGTCGTAAATTACCAGCCACGAGAACCATCCAGGCCGTGGTACCGGTGGGCTGGATGGTTCCGTGAACACCAGACGCTCATCCATACGTTTCGCCCTCCGCCCCGTTGCCGGTTTTGTCACAAGCCCCATCCGAGGGCCGTTGTCGCTGGGAATGTATACATGAGCACAAAGGAACGCTACTTGACGCGTAGGTGGCGGCGATAATTGGAAACCGCCGCGAAGAACCGGTTTGTTATCTTTCAATTTTACGTTTCGAGCACGGAGAATTTCTGAATTATCCCTCTATTACTTCGGAACCTTGCCGCGTCGCCCCATTCCTTACGACAACCGGAGAACAACCCGATAGAATCCGTTATTTTACCTCCGAGCGAAAATCGTTGAAATATCCCATTTTATATCGCTTCTAATTAAACTCACTGTTTCATATAAATAACCTAATCCCCAAAAGTTGTTTTCGCACTCAGCGTTCTTTTTAAGTTATTTAATTAATAAACACGCCGGCCGTTTAACAACGCGGAGCTGACGGAGCGGAGAGAAATGTCCATCACGCGCGAAAATGCGAGAACGCGTCACGCGTTGAATTAATCAATTTCCGTGCGTAGAACCCGATGGAAAATTTCGATCGTAGTGTAGGTTCTCTGACGTTCCGTTTGTTTCCTGAACGATGCGGGCGTGAAAACGTGACGCCGGGGAAATGGGAAATGATGAAAGCCGGCTGGCGGTAAAACTGCGGGGACCGATTAAATAAAGTTCGCTGACGCCGAGACACCTCTTGATTTTTCACTAAATTCATTTTCCACTGATCGTCCAATGGAATCACCTGATAATACGATTAGCTCCTATCTTCCACGAATTAAATTCTCTGTATTATACAAACTACAAAGTTAAAGTAACAGTATTTTTTTTCTATCAATTCGATGCTGATTTTTAAAAGGGATTGTAATTCGTTTGTTGCAACAGGTTTGTTCAAGCTACAGGACCTCGTAAAGTCGCCACCATCCGCGAGGACGGAGATGTACATTCGCCAGGCGGGACCTGGAACCTACAGGCAGGTCCTGCGGGAGGTCAGACACAAGGAGATCTACAAACTGATCGTCGACACGGATCCCGCGCACATGCAACAATTTTTTCGAGCGGTTAGTTCGTCGACATTTAATTATTTAACTATTAATCAATTTCTCGTAAATTTATTTATATAATTAAAATTAAATCTAACAATATTTATGATTAATTTTATTCGAATTGTACACTAAGCTTTACGACGAGCTTTTAACCAACGGATTTAAATTTTCGTTGCCTGTGCAAAGTAAACGAATAAAAGCGGACGGTAGATTTACAAGCTCGAATACCTCGGGTCGGTAGTTCCTTTATTGTGGCAGCGTGGAACGTTATAGCGAAGAGGCGAAATATTATACTGTTACGTGCTGCATCAAGGAGCTCGGTCCAGATCTTCACATACATAGCCTAGGAGCCCATAGAAGCTCACATCCTTACTCGTGGAAAAAGAAAAGTTGACCGGTCGATATCGCAGCTACAATATGTACAGCTTCTGGATTAAAAAACCTTAATACGTCATGGACCACATGATTAATACATGCTGTATTTATAATCGTCTGCTGTACGAAAAATGATTAACAAAAATTTAGCATTGATACATTTTATATCTTTATTCATAATTGAATGAATCATTGAATTGTTTAATTCAAATTAATAGATAAAACATTTTTAATCTGTGTTCTGGTAATTTTTATGAACCGGAGTGTACTCGCAATGTATTTAATCTCCAAGGTCCTCCGTAAATGCTATCGAGAACGATACATCGAGGGCGGTGAAATTTATGTCTCGATCGCTGATGAAAAATATTCCCTAGTCGATGCTTCCCTTATTCTCCTGTTCTCCGGCGTAGGATTTTTAACAGAAAGATTCATCGAATCTAATTAACGTTCGAGGGTGCAATATTTCCTTTGAAAATTCCATTCTCTTTATTATACATGGTTATTTTGAGAAACAGAAAATATGCAAAGTACGAAGCGTCAAATTCTTGATTCGTCTAATCGCCAGTATTTAATTCAACGAGTTTTGAAGAAAAATATTAGAAGACATTTGCTGAATCAAGTAACAGTGTGCCAAGGAATCGTAGCCAGTTTATTCAGGGGATGCGTGAGACTAGGGAGAATGCAAATTTGTTAGTTACAATCGTTGTCCAATTGCCGTGGGATTTTCTTCGGGTTATTCATTTCCCGGCCGCAATTTCCAAGAGAAATAGTAAGATAACAGAGAAAGGCGAAAGGGGTTATCAGGAAAGCGAGGGAGAGCTCAATTTGCTCGGAGCGTTGTCGCAATTGGATTTAGCGATAGCCCTGGCGATTCGAGGCGCGGACTTGCTCGAATTCTCCACGGCTCCGTCTGAAAATATCAAACGTTCTGGGCGCGAGGCGAGTTACGGGAGAAAACTGAAATGCCCACTGCTATTATTGTTGCGTTTCTCAAGAATCGGCGTTGCGCGAATCACGAGCGAACGTTGGCAGAGCTTAACGTGAATAGAGAACGTGTCTGAGTGAGTTTAGTATTCGCCTCGCGTTTTGAGTGCTCGGCACCGTGGGGAGTAGCTCCTTTTCTAAATGGAAAACAGCCTAGCCGGGATAAGTCAATTTCGAGCCGTGCGAGTCACCAGTCGCCATAAAATATTTCACAGGACTATCAAGCAGGCCGATAAAACGAAGCCTCGAATAAAACCGTTTTACTGATACGTAAGTCTCACTCGATTTATTGTAGTCAGGAGTATGATCGCAAAGGGAAAGTGAAAGTATATAGGAAAGACAATGGAGAATTCAATCGAGCTTCACATGTTTGGATTGAACTTCAAATCACTTATTAAGATTGCATGAGTCATAAGATCTCTGCCAATATAAAATAATAGTATTGCCAATATAGTAATAAAAGGCAATATTTCAAGCAATGAATTTTTAGAAATAATAATAATTACAGAAGAGTATGGTTTATAAAACTGTTCCACCTGTTTTTGAAAATTACAAAATTCTGTCATTCGATATGAGAATTCAGGATGTAATAACTTTTTTAATAAGCTCGCAAAATTTCTAAAATTTTCTACAGTGTTTTATTAACGTCATATCTAGTAACTGTCAAAATTTCAATGCTTTTTCATTGTTTTTATGCAAGGGTTCATACAACTTTAATTTCCTTGTACTATAAGATCTTACTTGTGAAATATATTTTACTTTGATATTGAAACGGTGAATTAAACATGAATAATGTCTATACGGTGCAATTGAGCTGAAAGATTTTTATTCGAGAATTCTTATTTCTACTCACGGTGAAAGAAAGGCTGACGTACGTTCAGTTACGAAAAGTTGATGGAATTTTTTATCGTAACGGTAGCGGGATCGCCGAGAGGCGTTCAAGGAAGTCTTTAAGTTCTCGAGGAGGAAAATATTAAGGGAACCCAGCGAGCCCAGATATATCGTCTTTCCGCAAAAAGCCCGTTAGTTTGGATAAAAAAAAAAGAACGGATTTTCTGCTAATTAAAATCCAGATTCTTTTTAATTAAACTTCACGAAGGG